CTTCCTTCCTTCCTTCCTTCCTTCCTTCCTTCCTTCCTTCCTTCCTTCCTTCCTTCCTTCCTTCTAGTTGCTACGTGCTATGGTTGTGCATGGCTTCAGTTTCAAGAGGGAAAAGGCACTTTGCACAGTGGCCTGCATGTAAGCATCCATTGCATCTTCTAAAGCCAAGCATAGATTTTCCTGGGGTTTTGCTGCAGCAGCTGTTTGTAGCTGATACTCAACTCTGGGAAAAGACATGGATGCTTTAAGGAGCTGCCAAAGAGGACAAAAACATTACATTTGACTATTTGTTTCTTTTGACCAAGATTAGTATTTTAATCTTTTGCATTGCTTTCATGTTTCCCACCTTGAGTGCCTGTGTAACAGGTGGGATATACAAATATAACACATAAAGCTATAAATGAAGATACTACCTTAATATGGGGCTACCATATCAGAGCTGTAAAATTCCAAATAACAGATAAAACTCTCTTTGCTGCCACCTAGTGATTATTGCACTTTTTTTGGAAGCCCAGATATGGAAGTTCTGTATAATATGAACTGTGAAGCATTTTGATACAATTTAAATAGTATCATTTTTGAGCTTACAGTTTTCTCCACTATTTCTCTACTATATCCTGCTATCTGATGAATTAGTGTTTGTGAGAACAGATATGTTACCATGACAGACATTTTGGCATGCAGGTCAGGCTTCCTTCATGGCATATATTTGTAAGAGTTTGCAGTCTCTTAAAATTCCAGATATGCCTGTCAGGCCTCTGGGTTGTGGGTGGCTTCTTACAACTGAAAATGTTTAATTGTTATGTAACTGTTTTAACTGATACAACCTTCCCTATACAGATTAAGCAGACTCATGCACAAACTATTCTGCTATGAAAATAATAATAAAAAAATTCTGTTAGTCCTAACTTTTATATAGCAAAGCCATGAAAAAAAGCAAGCCTCATTTGTGTATATAATTTCAACATGTCCTTGCATGTTTTACTATCATGTCTGAAAAATCTAAAGTATGTGGACACTCAAACATCTATACAGTATTGTTCAGAGCTGGTGAAAGTACCAGCCTCCTCATCATCATCTTTCACCGCTAACTTAAATGACCTCCTTTTTTCTCTCAACAGAATGCCAGCCGACAAAAGGAGCTGTTCTGATTGCAGGCTTAGCAATTATTAGTGCTGTAGCAGCAATTGGCTTAATTTACATTATTATTATTGGTAAGTAATTTCTGTAGAAAATGTTTGCTCGTTTATTTCATACTAAGATTATTTGCTCCCAGATTATTCTGGGTAGGTTACTTTTCTTTAAAAAAAAAACAATTATGACAAAAGAAAAAGAAACAGATGATCAGCATCCAGAAGGCAAACTGTGTAATGGCACAATATCCAACTCAATTACTTCTATACCTGGATGTGTAGCCACATTTTCAGAGATTTTCAGAATGTCATCAGGGTGGCAGCTGGTGGGATGCTATTCCAAAAGGCAGGTGTTGTTAGAGAAGAACGCACAATGATATTGTTTCATTGAAGGCATCCCACTCTGCCCAATCACTTTGGGCAGAAACATTCAGCTATAACCCAATATAGTACATTCAGTATCAATATCCAGGCTATGTGTCATAATAGACTTTTTATATAATAACTGTCACCTGAAATTGCACTTGAGTTCTGTCATCACATGGGCATAATAGAAGATGCTTATAATTGTGGGTGTTCTTGTATTCTGAGGCAGCTGTAGCTTCTGGGTGGCCTTTACAGAAAGCCTGATGTGGAGCACAAGGTAGTTACCCATTTATGAGATGACTAGGGTGTGAGTGATTGTCTGAATAGTCAGGAACAGGCACAACAGGCTTAAGATATAAGTATTCAGTTAAGAAAATTATTGATTTTTAAAAAGGAATTCTTATTCAATCTTTTTTTTAACAAAACAAATATTTGGATCATAGTATTGTTTGCGAATGAAGAAAGTTAATACGATGTGTGGCCTTTCCTATCATGGCACTCAGTCATATGTTACATTTACAAGGTTATTGTTTTTAATCAATGTCCACAGACCATACTTTTCCCCCTCCTGTATGCAATTCACATATACAGCAATTAAATCCAGTCAATCATCTGTGGTCACATGTTGTTTTTTTAAAGTTTAGTTTAAATAATTATCATATATCTATGCTTAGGCATATAAATATCTGAATGAATCACACTTAATATATGCTTTTTCTATTACTTATCTAAGTTTCTTCTGACAAAAGATATTGCTTAATGAACATGCAGTTAGAAAATGTAGCCTTGGTTGTTGGGAAAGTTCATATAGCACTGTTTGGTTGGTTATAGACTCAATAATAACACTACAACAGCACTTAAGACCTTTAGCTGAATTAACAGTTATGTGATATATTTCACATGAGCCACAACTGGAATATGTTTTAATATATCCTTGATCAGGAACATTTCATTTTTTAAATTACTTTTGCCATACTTTTACATTTGAATATTTGAAGTCTCAAGCAATTAGGGCAAAATTAGGAAACTTTATAATAGATTAGAGTGAAAGAGTAAAAACTATGACATTTATGGTATTAATTTATGACTTAAATTAATTAAAAGCTGCCAAAATTAAAGGAGCGTTCAACATCATTAAGAGTATAGATGATCAGCTGATTGTGGACATTTATCCAATGGTCTAATAATCAGTATCTTAAAAAATTGAAGATGACTGTATTATCATTGTATTCAATGCCATAAATTATTTCTTTACTTTGCATGGAATTACTATTTTTAATTGGTTCAGATACAGTGCTAAGCATAATGTGCTATTAGCCTATGTTTTATCATGAGATAACATCATAGTATTTTGTGTAGACCGGGACCCTGGCCTGTTTAGCAAGCCATATTTAAAATATTGGATTAGTGTGTGAATTTCAACCATTCTGTTTCTGTTCATAGAAATTTAAATTTGTGCCTATAGAAAATGTTTGTAATATATATGATGAAGAACCTGCTGTGACTGGAGCTTTCATCCTCAATAGTTACTTCAGACAATGATGATTTTCGTTGTGCATAAATCTTCACTGCTGCATAGATAGAGAACTGATCATACTAGGTAGAAATATAAGCAAAGGCATGACTGTGACTATTTAAACAAGTAAAAGTCAAACAAACATTATTCAATAGTGGCTGTTTAATCCTGAGTTATATCAAATACAGAGAAGTATTTGAGTCCAGAATTATCTACTCAAGCGTTACATTTAGAGTTACTTTTTAGTATATGTTTTGCATTAATTTATTCAGGCATTGCGTTGTTATGCATGTTTTTCAGTGAAAGGCATATCTCATCATATATGATTGGTATGCTACAATCTTCCAAAGGTGTATCAGGTACCTAATTTTATTTCTATTATAGTACAAAGAGAAAAAGGTGTACTATATTGGGTTAATAGTAACCCCACAATTTATAAGTTATATATTTCCCATTAGGAACTTAATTATAATTATAATACATTTGTGCATTCAGTTAGCAGACAGAAGTACTGCAAGTTGCTTTATTTTTGTTCAAGCCACTTGATCTTTTCTATCTTAGTACTCTCTGTTGCAGTGAGTACTGTTGCAGATGATCAGTTTCCCTCATGTTGGCCTCCTAAGGCTAGAGGGAATAGGATAGTGATCAGAGAAGAAGGAAGGACAGTGTGGTATTTAGAGTACTAATATTAAACCAGAAGAATAATCAAATGAAATCCAAACATTTTTTTCTAGAAGGAGACCATACTCAATGTGCAAGGTTGAAAGGCTTAAGATACAAAACCTGTTTTGCCATTTTTGAGAAAATTACATCAAATAATGTTGGTAGAGTTATCAGGAAATTTCTATAGTGCAATCCATAGGTACTCTGGAGCCTTAGATGTAGGGCAAGGTTGCTCATGCATGAAATAATTCTACCCATGATATAATCCATGATATAATTGCCCTCTGGAATATTCCCCTGTCAGAGGTGAGATTCGCTCCCATACTCCTGGCCTTCCAGAAGAACTTAAAAACCTGGCTCTGCTGCTTGGCCTGTGGCCCTCCTGGGGTCCTCTACATTGAGGGGTGCCTGATAGGATAGAGAAGATTCTTTCCCCGAGGTTGTGTATAATTTTGGTTTTATTTTTTATTTTTTATTAATTTTTACTCTTTTTTTAAATTGCTTTTTGCACTTTTTAACTTTTATTATATTGTAAACTGGCTACAGTCACTTACTATTGAGATGGGCAGCACAGAATAAATAAATAAAGAAATAATCAATAAACTGTTTTAGTTTAAAACAGTTTAAACTAAAGGCAGTTAGTTAAAAATCCAATAAAATTGTCATTTTGCTATTGAATTTCAGCGGCACAGTTTAAAGGAGCTTCAGAGAACTCAAATTGATGGCTCACATCTGATTATCTTGCATACAAATCCCAGAGGTTCGCTTTACGTGGCCCTTTGTTCTATAGTAGAATTAGAATTTTGATGTCCCATTATTATTTCTTAATTTAAACAGCAAGATTTCAGTGTACAAAGGTGCTGATAAAAGACTGCTTTGAAATAACAAATAAAGCAATCTAAAACTGCATTAAATAATAAATGATTTGAGTCAGCTTTGATGTGGAGAGTTATTGCCCTTATATGTAGTGCCAGCTGGAATGAAGTCATGGTTAGTTTAAAAATATTTATATCCTGTTGTTTTGTTACAAATAGCTGCACCTAATGGAAAATATAAATCAAATGATTAAATTATAGCGTGAGAAAACAAACTTCAATCAACAGAGAGAAAAAAAATCAAGAATGACAGTCTACAATAAGCATTGTTTGGTGTGTTCCTGAAAACCAGTTCACACATGCAGTTTCATCATACAGTGTCTGTAATTAGTATTTACTGTATTAATAGATTTCTCATACCTAAAAAGCAACTTTATATTTTCTTCCAAAAAGTCTTCTTTTCCCCTTCATGCAAACACCAAAAAGGGACAAAAATATGTGGGGTGATCTTAGAATGTTGAGACTATTTTAACACAACATTAATTTTCTACCTGCATGCTTAGAATTCTAGGAGATGGGAGGTAAAGGATATTATAGATTTACTATAGTCTTACCAGGAAATAATTCTTTCATGTGGTCAGATTAGATAGTAATTCCAGGATCATCCTCAATGCCTGTATCCCAGTATCACTTCTTCCATTATTAGAATTGTTTCAGTTACCCAATTTTCTTCCTATGCCTTCTGTAAGGTGACATAGGTGGGTGTCCCAGCGTTTATGCTCCAGATACAAGAAAATGAACAGAAGGTGTGAGCTTAAATGGATTCCAGAGTATGGTAGAGGACAGGAAGGCCTGGCAGAACATTGTTCAGGGGTTGCAGTGGGTCAGATGCAAGTTCACAACTAACAACAACAAACCCTGTTTTAGAAAAATGATCGTAGAAGGAGAGTTTGTTAGTTTTCAGTTAAGTTTTCATTCCTGTCTTAGGCAATTCAACTATTTAGAGTTTTCCTTAACATTGCAGTGGCTTTTTTCTTACTTTCCCCCCCTTAATTTAGCTTATGAAGGATGTCATATTGTAATAACTGAAAGATAGAAATAATCTCTCATTTAAAAATAATTAATGAGACACTAGGTTTAAATTCTGATGATATCACCTATGCAAAGTGATTAGATATTTGTGCTTTGGTTATCTAATTAGAAAATGTGTTCTATATTTTTAACCTAGGTTGCAACTTGAAAGATCATCAGCCTCCAAGGGTAAGCTTACCATTAATGTATTTGGGGTGTCTACATGGCTCGGGGAAATTTGTAATGAGATGCTGAGCTTTCATAATTGCAGGTTGGTAGATAGCAAAACCCACAGAAAACTATTGGTTGTCAGCAACTGGCTATCTATACTTTCTTCAAGGATCTTTACTGATTTTGTGCCATCAAGTCAGTATCAGCTATCTTGGAAATCATTAAACCTGGGTTTCCACATTTTTCATTCTACACTGTAAGAAGTCTTTCTGGCAATATCTTTTCTTACCCTGTTTCATATTGAAACTGCAAAATGCAAACTTGACTTGCAGCTTGAACAGTTATCCACTGGAATCAGGATGTTCTGTCAATGGGTGATCAGTATTATTATATTATTACATATGGTGAAGATTTAATGAGGAATTTAAAATTAGGTTGAATTATTATCTGCATGTAATAGATTAATTACATTTCATTCATTCATTCAATTTTATTTGAAACTATAAGCTATCCAAGTCCAGGGGACTCATTTGATTTGGTTTCTTTCTCCTTTTTTCCTCTGGGTGCCATTATACAGTCTCTTTACAATCTCTTTATATCCTTTCTTCTTCTTTATTTTTATATTAAAACAATAAAAAACTAAAATACCATTTATGGAGGAAATGCCATTTAGAAAACAAAACCCAAAAATGTTGGAAAAATACAGTCATGCTAATTAATTTAGGGTTTGAACCAAATTGCAATTGACTTATTCATGCTTAGTTATGAAAGAATAGCTAAACTAATATGTATTCTCTAAGAGTGCTGCCTACTGTAATCCCCCACTCCATCCCAGTCTAACTGGAGGCCAATTTTGGGTGGCATGTCAGTGGCCAAATAAAAAAAGTAGCTAAACTAATACAAAGAAGTTGGACAAAGTAAAAGCTTAGTGAAATGTCCATCTGACTAAAATAGAATTTAACAATTAAATCAATTTCTGGGTTAATTAATTATTATTTCTTTTTTTCTGCTGTCTTATCTCTACTTTATAATTTAATTATTAAACACATTTAAAAGATTCACTGCTATGTTGATTTGGATGAACATTTGCATTTTTAAGATAGATATTTTGCTAAGTTTTGGATAACTGGTACAGGCAATGCAAATATGTTATGTGTGAATTATTGTCTTGCATGATCCCCTATAAATTCTTGAACGATTGAAGAAAGCCAGTATCATACTATGAAGTGATTAGAAATCACAGACTGCACAATAGTGATGGGTAATGCAAATCTATGGACAGCTTCAGAAGGTGTGCTAAACTGGCCATCCAGAGACAAAAAAATACGTCTGAAATATTATAACATTGGTTATTAATGAGACCTCATGAAATCACAAGATTTGGAATTGTAAGCCATCCAGAGTTATTAATTGAGATGGGTGGCTATAAAAATTAATTAATTACGATGCAAAATTTCCCAAGAGTACCTGCTGCCTGAGATGATTAGAGATGCCATCTCTACTGTCTTTCATTGATGCTGCCTTTATTATGCTCCTTTCCCTTTGATACGCATGGAAAGTAGGAAGATTGTCACTTTAGATATGCATGGAAAGTAGGAAGAACCTGTGAACATTGGTGCAAATCCGTGTCTAATAAAATGTAGATAGGGTGTTCTAGGCCTTTGCTGTAACTCAGTGTACTACTTGAGTTTATTGTTACTAGTTTTCCAACAGTACATGAAAAAATAAGCTGTATTACAAATCCTTTTAATATTGGTAGTGCTTGACTTATGACTGGTCACTTAACCATTTGAGATTACAGTGGGCTTCCTCGGATATTTATGACTCCAACATTCCGATGGCCGCCAGTCTCGCCGATGAACATGTGACTGCATGTCAGGCACTTGAAAACCATTCTGTATTTATAGCCAGTTGCAGCATCCTGCAGTCATATAAACTGAGTTTTGAAAAACAGCATTTACCGCTGGTTTCCACCAAAACCAACCTATAACAAATCACTGGTTTGCTTAACAACAGTGGTATTTGCTTACCAACCCTGGCAGTTGGTTTGTGATCACAACATCCACTTTAAGAGCACTGCAAAAAAATAATAATAATGCAAAATTGGGTTGGTCACAAAAGTTTACAAGTTTACAACTTACAAATGTAAATGGGCAGATTTCATGATGGTTGTAAGTCAAGGACTACTTGAAATTCAGTCATCAAACTTCAGCCACTCTTTGGCTTGGTTTTTTTATTAGTTTGGCAACAAATGAATTTTTCTTTTCTTTAAAGCAGGTGTGTAATGTGCAGTGCACTGTTGTGGGTGTGTCAGGTTTTGCACTCAGACATGGTGGAGAAGTTAACTTTAAAATAGCAGAACAGAAATTGGGTTTCAAATTTCTTACACCTGTTCTATTTGTGACTCCATCTCTTCTGGCTTGCTTTAACCATAGCGTGGCATTACGTCTGCAATGGCATTGGCCAAATCTTTAGATTTGATAAGTTTGAAATAATTCCTAAACCTGATTTCTAGTCTATTGTTACTAGTTTTCTAACAATACATGAAAACATAATCTGCAATACAAATCCTGTTAATACAGCTTTTGTGGGCATCCTGGTTTAGGCTAACCAGATTTTCTTAAATGATTTATATCTTATTCTATTGTGTGCCCTTTTTCTGGAAAGTTCTTAAATTATCTGTACAATTCAGTAATCAGAAAAACAAAAAAACAAAAAAACATTTAAATACAATCATTACCTGGCAAAGACTCAGTTTTTTCTCTGTGTACATAAAGCATGTGTGTTTGTGCATGTCTTGTCCATCAATGTACCAACATAACTTATTATCTCTCTGAGAGCCAGTGTGGTACAGTGGGAAATATGCTGGACTAAGATTGGGAGACCCAGGTTCTTAGTCCTCACTTAGCCAGACAAACCAACTGAGTGATTTTGGGCCAGTCACTCACTCTCAGCCTTAGACTGGAAAGTAGAAAATACATATCTACCAATCTTTACTGGACTAGATGAACAAACAGGCCAGTGGATTGATTCAGGCTGGAAAAAAATACAGAAATAGAAATTAGGTACTGAGATCTATGCTTTGTGTCTCATGCAACATACATAGACAAACTTTAGTCCAGTTTAAATAGTTAGTGCCTGGCCAAAATGAATGTGGTTAAATAAAGCATTCCTAAGATTATTATTTTAGTATCTAGGTTATTTTTTGGGCATTTTAGTGATGTCATTAAAAAAATAATGAACATATTGAAATTAATTGAAATAAAAAGAAAAGGGGTGCATATTGGTAGTTTTCAGCTACAGCATTTGTATATTCCTGATGAGGTCATCACATCCCTTTCCTTAACTGTACTTTTTTTTGGGGGGGGGGCACTGTTAAAGCAGTAATGCTGTTGTATTCCAATATTTTGACATAAATTTAACTGATTACTATCTTTGTTAAAGTTTTGATGATGTGTTTGAAAGATTTGGTTGTTCAGCTTGTTTCTGTGATTTGCAGCTTGCTGCCAGTTTAATGAAATGTATTCCACAGTTGTCATTGCCGACACGATCTTGCTGAATACAGCTACTTGTTCTTTGTAGTGTTTGTTTTCTGCATTACTGCTAACTTGCAAAGAGAAGCTATTGCCACTGAAGTACTTCTGAAGCAGGCATGTCATCATCATTTATAACCTGGAAATAACCAAACCTGTCACTAATCTTGCTAATGTTTTGCTACCTCTTTTATTTCTTTTATAGAATCACTATTTATTGTATATATCAATTAGAGTTGTTTAAATTTTGGACCTCCAAACTAGGCTTGAAAGCTTTACGTATTTTAAATATTTTACAGAAAGCTGTTGAAGACTCACTTAATGGTAGGTGGTAATTTTGTCTAGTTGGGAGATTTGATCTTGGTGATTTGATTGACATCAGAGAATGATTGTTTGGTGCCATTTAGAAATAGACATGTATGCAGGATAATGTAACATGAATCATGGCATCAAATCACTGGTGGTCTTCTGGTGTTACTAAATGCTTTGCTATGCAGTAGTTTTTGGTATGTCTACTGGATGGTATTTTTTTAGGATAAATGGGATAGTGACCGTATATATTGCTTGGCCAAAAGAATCAGTCTCTTAATGTGAAAGCAGATTTCTTCTTAAAGGTAGATGTTACCCTGCCTTTTGCATGGGGTGCATGCATTTCTGGGATTGTGCTGTGCTTTTTTCTTTTTTCTTTTGCTTTGTTTCCTATTGGATATCCAATTTCTTATTTGGTGATTTGGTTCAGCTGATTTGAAAGCACTTCCGCTGAAGTAAAATCAAGAGGAATGCTAATTGTTTTTGGATTATCCAGGGGTATTTTTGTTAACGCTGGTGCTCCCATTCCTTTCATGTTACATGGAACTATGGCATGCTTGAACTATTCTGTTGTTTGTTTGACAAATTACTAACTCTTTGCTTGCTTTTTCAAAAGATGCAAAAGGAGTAATGTTAGAATGATGATGGTGAGTAGCCATTGTCTGTATTTGGGGTGCATTTTTGTCAACATGGCATACAGCTTGGTTATGATATGGACTTTACATTATGACTTACGTTCCTATATCTCACAACCGTAGGCCTTGTTTCTTTTCTAATGTGCAGCAGCAACGTGCTGCAAACTATTGTTCTTTTTATTTTTCAGAATCTTGGCGCATATTACACTGCATAATTTTTTTCAAAAGTTTTGCTTCCTGAAAACCTTTTGATGATTAGGATTAGACCCCCTTCAGACTGAACACAAATATGATTTCAAAATCATAGTAATTTTGACAAATATGAAATTCTTTTATTGGCTATAATTTATTTAATTGCATAATGTTTCCAACATACTGCACGAGTTTAACAGTCTAAAAGTGTTTTGCTGCTAATTTTCACTTGTACTAAGTGTCTGATGCATTTCACTGCAGTATCCAACAATAGTCAGCCAGCATTGATGAATTTCAGTTGCAGAAAATGAATCTTCAGTGACATGTTACACTTTACAATCTTGTGTGCTGTAAGAAACTTGTCAACCAATTGAATATAATCTGGTGCTCTGCAGTTGCCAAGAAAATTCTCAACAACATCTTTGAATGATTTCCAGGTGATTTCAGCTCACGCTACTGACAGATCTTCGAACTGTTTTCCATTAGAGATCTGTGGATCAACAAAAAATACTTTCCTTAATCTTAGCATTATATTCATGGAAACATCTGTTTCAAATAATGAAAACCTGCACCTTCCTTCTTCACTACTTTCACAATTTTTTTTCTTCAGTCCACATTTTATATGAAGTGGAGGCCAAAATATTTTTTTGGGTCAACAAGTGGTTCATGTTTTTCTGGCCTGGAACCAAATTCTTTTGGAGTAGCCATTTCTTTCATGTAATGTGATTCTTTTGCACATTCTTTTGTAACAACAGTACTTGATATATCCAAGCTGCATCGCAAGCAGCAGAGTGAGTACTTTTAGATATCCACAGATATTCCAGTTGCACTTGGTGTATTGGATATGCTTCAACGGCAGTTCCTTGTTTACATTCGTTTCTTTCATGTGTTTAGCATAGACAATAGGAACTGAAGGATGTACATTGCCATTGTGTAGCAAGGCAGCTTTGAGGCTTAACACTGATGAATCAATAAAGAGATGCCATTCTAGTGGGTCATGCTCACAACCCAAAATTTTGAACAAATCATCAATGTCAGTACAAAAACCAAGGTTTTAACCTGTGCAAAGAAATTTGTTAAATCATCTTGGCGGCTTTGAAAGACATAAAGCTTCGTACTGGTGATAGCAAACACCGTTCTAGCAGTTTTGAACCCAGCTTTTCATTGTTTAATTTCAGTTGTCCCCAGACAAGCACACTTCAAAATCCAGATCATCGTCACTGTTCC